TGAAGACAGAATCTGAGCGAGTGAAGCTGAAAAATCTCCACTGTTAGAAGTCGTTGCTAGGGAATGGATGATGAAGACACAGCAGGTGAGAAAATGCTTAGTGGGTGCTGTGGTGATTTATCAATTATGGATATTAGTGGTGGTGCTGTAATTGCTTGTAGTTCCGAGTTGTATGTATAAATGGCCAATAAATTTATTCACCAATCTGAACCCCGTTTATAGTCGCACATAAATCGTGACAATATATTAAATGAAAACAAAACAATGGGAATTTTACAAATCCTGTATACACGATGTGTCCAGGATCCGTTAGGACTAATTTTTTTTTTAAATTTTGCCCTGAAATGCAATCTGTTGGCGAGTTGTGGCGTTAAGATTCTTGAAGTTTCAGCTGTGGTTGTCTATAATTTAAAGCGTAAGCATCGCTGCATCATGTGTTCTGACCTTGAAAGTAAGAGTACTGTTCTGACACTCGTCGGAAAATGGCGGTTGAACAGAGAGCCAACATCAAATTCTGTTTGAAGTTAGGCAAAACAGCTGGAGAAGCGTATGAAAAGTGTGTACAGTAGTGATTGTTTGAGTCGCTCCAACATTTTTCGATGGTATGCTGTATTTCGTGACGGCAGGGCGGACACTGAAGACGCTCCACATGCATCAAAACTGAGAACAAGTCACACTGAAGAAAATGTGACAAAAGTGACCGAAATCCTTGCGTCAGATGTGTTTCTGGAAGACTCATTGAGGAGCTTTTGGGAATATCAAAAGTACTGTGAATCAAATTTTGACCGAGGATTTGGACAAACGGAAGGTCTGTGCGCGGTTTCTACCGCACGCGCTGCCAGGCGATGAAAAACATGCCATAGTGGAACACTGCAAGCACATGCTACGGTCGGCCCAAAGTGATACAAAATTTAAAAAACAGATTGTTACTGGTGATGAGACATGGTGTTTTCAATATGAGCCTCTCACAAACCGGCAGAGTGCAGCGTGGTTGATTCCAAAGAAGCCGAAACCAAAGGAAGCGCGCATGCAAAAGAGTCGAGTAAAGACACTGCTAACCGTTTTCTTCGATTCCAAAGGAATCATTCACAAGGAAATTCTGCCAGATGGTCAAACAGTGATTTCTAATTATTATCTCGTAGTCATTCTTCGAATTCGACCTGAATATCGAGAGCAAGGTTCCTGGTCGCTCCTCCACAACAATGCCCCACCCCACAAATCGAAGATCGTGGGCGATTTTTTGGCCAGAAAAGTGATCCCAGTCCTTGATCATCCCCCGTATTCCCCAGATTCGGCTCCATCAGATTTCTGGTTGTTCCCAAAAGTTAAGTTGACAATGAAAGGAGACTGTCACGACACCCAAAGTTGCCCAGAATCAGGAAGAGCTACTGAAATGGATTGCAGACCTCAATCCAGGACTTCATACGGAGAACTGGAGGGTACTAGATAAGCAATCTGAGTCGAAACGCCAGAGGCTTATCTTATTCATAGTCCGGGACTCTTATACTATTATACAGAGGACCGGTTACAAAATATTCACTGAACTCTCACAGGGGACTGTTAAGGTGCTGAATGATCCTGAGGATTAGCGCCAGACAGAACCTTTGTCAGAAACAGCATCATCCAACTCGGTCTCTGGGGGGGGAGGGGGATGATGTACCTACTCCCTCAGTTAACCGGAAGAGAATATCTGATAAGAAGGAGACAATCCCTCCTCTCGTCAACCCGACCTTACCAGATCAGGGACCTCCCTCGGAGTAAACCAGGTCTGATAAAGGAAAAGATGCTGTGGAAGAAGGTATTTAGGACACCTTTCCCAGCATTACAAAATGAACACACAACATACATACACACACACATGACATTTACACATAAAACATGATTCATTCAGATTAATTTACACCACAGCAAGGCTGCTACAGCAATTTTGTGTGTTCAACTTTCTGAAGGAAAAGCATACGTAGCACTTATTCAGGAACCTTGGATATAGGGAACAAATAACATGCTTAGTGACTTCATGGGGAACAGTCTACTCTGTGGTGCCTCGAGACAATGTTAGATCATGCATATATGTTAATACGAGGGGGTACCCAAAAGAAACCGAACTTATATTTTTTTAAACTTTTTATTCAAATTTTAAGCACAAACCTTCAATCCCCTTCAAAGTACTCTCCACTTACACTAATACACTTGTCTAGTCCTTTATTCCATTTTTCAAAACATTGTCTAAATTCATCTTTTGAGATGCTTGACAGCGCCTCCGTCGTTTTTTTCCTTCACCTCAGCAACATCAGCAAAACGCTGAAAAAAAGTTTTGATCATTTCGGAACTCTTCTTTCAAAGCACAGCATGCTTCCACGCGACCTTGTTTTTGTTCAGCAGTCAGCAGTCGTGACATGAATTTCGCAGCCACCCTTTTCATTCCCAAATCTTCTGTCAAAATTCTCTGAACTGAGCTCCAACTCACTCCCGACAGCTCCACAATTTCTTCAATGGTCCGTCGTCGATCTTCCTTAATGATTTCACGAATTTTTTCAACATTTTCATGTGTTCGGTCCATTGCAAAAACGACGATCACACAAAACAGTTGTCACTATAAACTCTGCCGAAACTAGTCCTTACCTTCTGAAGCAACGGTAGTCGGCTTAGCGACTCAGGAATGTTCGCTCTATGCGCTCATAGCGGCAAAACGCGGTACTACAAAAGCTCTGCCCACAAAAAAATTAGTTCGGTTTCTTTTGGGTACCCCATCGTAATCATATTAATGCTTTACCCTTGCTGGAGTTCTGTTCCAGAGACACAACAACGGTGAGGATGACATACACACTGGGCGGAGGCTGTGGAGCTCATCGTCACTTCAGCCTACATTCCATATAACTCAGATGAACCACCACCTTAAGGAACCGACCCTTTTCAATAAGACAATCTAGCTCTCCAGCGATGTCAAGTACCTTGGTATAGTATTAGACAAGGGATTGACATGGAAAAAGCAGCTGGACAAAGTCATCAATAAAGCCTATAAGGCTTTTCGGACACGCAGAAGCATAGACTTGAAAGGATTCTGATGATGGTTTATACTGTACTTCTTTTGGCTTGTTTCGTACTTCATCAATCGTCTGGTATGTAAAAGACAAAACACCACGATGTCTCGGAGACTGGATATGTCTCCGTCTTCAGGTGGGCAGGGAAAGATAAATCTACTCAGTTGTGCCCGTTAGAAAGAGCTAGTCTCAATCATTGGACTTCTTGTCTTTCACATACCAGACGATGGATGAAGTCCAAAACAAGCCAAAAGAAGTACAGAAATGCAGAAGCATGTTTGGTAAAACTTCAGGACTGCAGCCGCACGTTGTGCATAGGATATATACTGCGGCTGTAAGACCCATAATTACATATGGCGCCACAGTATGGTGGCCCAGATTTAAACTCAAGACAAGCAAGAGAGAACTTAGCAAATTGCAAAGGTTGGCTTGCTTGGGTATCACAGGAGCAATTCGTACATCTCCAACAGCTGCACTGGAGACACTCCTTGGACTCCCCCATTGCATATACAGTTGGAGGCAGAGGCCAGGGTAGGAATCTACCGTCTACAGTGCAGTGATCAATGGAAACTAAATCCGATAGTTTCGGACATGCATACATGACTCAGGACATGAAAAAAGAACTCATATTACAAATGAGGTCTGACAAAATGATACTGAGACATGTATATGAAAAACCATTCACAGTCAGATTTCCTGACAGGAGTGAATGGCAAGACAGTTTTCGGCCCAATAGGAAAGGGGACTAATCTGGTATACAGAGGGTCCCAAGATAAATAAGTGAACTGGAGCTGGTGTGTACTGCTATAGCACAAGGCGGAAACTGAGTTTCAGCCTTGGGCAGTACATGACAGTATTGCAGGTAGAAGTATATGCCATTAAGGCATGTATTATGGCGAATCTAGATAGGAACTACAGAAATAGGAACAGCTACATTCTATCTGAGAGCCAAGCTGCACTAAAAGCACTTGACAAACACCAGATCAACTCAAAATTGGTCTGGGATTGCCACCAAACTCTCATGGAACTGGCCAAACACAACAGGGTACAACTGATATGGGTACCTGGGCATGAGGGTATTGCTGGAAACGAAATAGCAGACCAATTGGCCAATATTGGAGCTTAACATCTGTTCATAGGACCTGAACCAGCCTGTGGCATCTCTATAGGAGTTGCCAGAAAGGCAATCAGGGACTGGACAAATATGAATCACAAGAAATACTGGGAATCCTTGACTGGACTCAGGCAAGCAAAGGGACTCATATCAGGACCCTACATTAAAAGAGCGAAGGAACTGTTGAAGTTAAACAGGAACCAGATACAATGGGTGGTAGGACTACTTACAGGACACTGTCACCTCAAAGGACACCTCTTAAAACTGGGACTAAGTAATAGTCCAACTTGTGAAAGGTATCAAGAAGGAAATGAAACAGCCACACATATGCTGTGCGAATGTGAGGCCTTAGCTTACTTAAGATTGCATCACTTAGGTCAATATTTCATGGAACCAAGAGAATATTTCGACGTCCCCACGTACAGAATCCTATTCTTCATTCGAAGCGCCAGATTGTTGAGTGGATAATCAGAAAGGGAGGCACAATAGGTCACTGTGGTCGCGGTGCAAGGGCCAAGAAGGCCCACCCCTTATACTTGTACATTCATTCATTCATTCATTCATTCAACTTCACCTACAAGCAGCGGTCGCTCGGTCGGTATAGTTCGCTTGCGGTCTATAGGTCACGGAGTTTTTTTTTTGTTTGTTAGTATGGTTAATTAAATTAAAAAACAAGTAATTCTTAAAAGATTTAGTTTCTATAATCTGGTACACATCTTGTTTCCGGATTTTGACTGGTGAGTGATGAGAAAGAAGAAAATTCTGCAAAGCTGTCAAGATTTTATTATACAACATGTGAAAAAATCATTGTTAATAATTTTGGATTATGCAGTGAATTATAAAGCACAAGTTCATGAAGTCGAAACCACCACACAGATCACTCAATTGCCTTGACTTTTTTGTCAATGATAGTACAACTAGTAAGTTGTGTCACCTGGAAGCACAAGCTTGTTGCTTTGTAGTCATCCTGAGTGGCTACTGTCAGTTGACAAGAGGTGACAGTAGAGAGAGGAGCAACAGCTGTGCTAGAGTTGGGTGCAGTAGCCAATCACAGCTGAGGTACTGTAATGTGAAGATGAGGTGTGTGGTGGCCATAACAATAGTAATAGCATTTCTGCAGCATGGAATGGGCTATACACAAGAGAGACGATACGTAGAGGTGAGTTGTTACAAATTATAAAATCTAATTGAAGTTATAAATGAAAACAATCATAATATTCACGAACAAATTACAATTTCTATTGCTGTGGAAAATGCGGAGCATAATAACACAAACTCTACTGCAGAATAACACAGAATTATACATATGGTTGACTGCTGAATAAAAAATTTAAAAATTGTACTGATATCATCACTCCTGTTGAATTATATCGAAAGCTGAGAGACGAACGTAGAAGATGTGTCGCACATAAAAATATGATACAATTGATGATAGAAACATTGAGAGAAATACTGTTATAAAGCACGCATGTTTCATATAATATTGCCCTTAAACGCGTCCGATTTAAACGAAAACTGAAATGGCTCTTCGCATATTCATAAAATTCTCAGATATCAAATATGAAAATCAGTCCAAAGATTATCGGATTAATCCATTCACACGGATTGGCGAACGAACTGTGCGAAATAAATGAGGATTCCGCAGGGTTGCAAACCCGCCTAAGAGTGAACAAAATTCAGTGACTTATTTAGATTGCTTTGAGTATTGTAAATAAATTACCGCTGGTAACAATTTAAGAGGGTTCATCAATGACTAGTTTAATAGAACAAAAGATTGAAAATTCTGTTCTTCAGAACCAGAGGATCCCATAAAGGGCCTCAGGAGTTCCGCAGATTAGGTTTTGTAATGGCGGATTTCAATACGAGTGCCAACCGATCTCAGTAGTAATTTCTTATAAAATTACAAACCTAATATAAATAACGTAGTAAATTCCTTAAGCTACAATTCTGTTTCAAATTTATGGAAACCAAGAACTATGGGTGACACCTCACAGTGGATGCCTTTTAAAGAAAGTATTTACATTATACAAAATTTAAGTGCTGGATTATGTTTCTCTTAAGAAGATAAAATATTCCTGATATATATGTAATTACTTTTTTCCGGACTCTACTAGGCTGAAAGGTCAAACAAATGCAAGATAATATATACTCGTACTTCAATGAAATTACTTCTGAATATACACTGGAGGATTAATTTAGTGAGCTTACTGCTAAACCGATGGAACTGTGCACTATATCGACATTTTTCTCACTTATTCAATATTGTTCACAAATCCGTTTCTTAGTAATTCTTTTATGCTATTTAAATCAGGGCTGTTACGATTTTTGTAACATTATGACATAAGCAAAAATATTATATTTCTTGACAGTATCCATCGTCATATTTTTCTTTAAAACATCAACAACAGGACGATGAATAATGTCCGGAAATCATAATATTTGTGCTAATGTACGAGTACCATCCTCACAAATTTTGGATCTTATTAAAGACATAATAAGTTTTGTAGAAAACGTATTACAGGTATTAAAATAGCAGTCGTTTCCAAGCAATCAGAAGATTGCATCTTTTGGCACGCTTTTTAGGAAAGGTGTATTAAATTGCGTTGCGCCTGTTGGTGTTGCGTGTCTACTGGTTTATCTCTCTGTGCGTTGGTGACATGTGTCTACGGTCTATTGAATAGAGATAATATTAACCTTCATCTTGAGCATCCTCCCCGAAGGCGTCGAGAAAACGCGCATATAAATCTCGAAGCATTCTCGACAACGGCCTTTCATAGTTCTGTTACGTTTAAATAGAGAATAAAGGTCCACAGAAATTTTCGAGGCGAATGAATAACGCCAAAATTGTCTTAGGAGTGGTAGCGCCTAAAAAGTGGCAACTTACCCTGCTCATCATCATGGTAGGTTGCATACTACCAACGTGTGAAGCCTGGGAAGTTAATGGAAAAGTGCATCATGTAAATTTTTTGAAAACACAATCGGACATAACCAAAGAATCAGTAACATCAATCCCTTATGTAAATTCAGTTACATTTATCTCATAATACTTTTCAGAATAGTTCCCCTGTTTTGTTACTTCAATGTCTGTATCGAAAAGTGCACTTATTTTTCTCTTTTCACTCCTATGTGCCACAATCTCTTTACAGTCCTAATTATCCCTAACATCTACTACTGACGTATTATTTTTATTGCTTGGTGGGGTGGGACCGAGTCCACTTGGTACTGCGGCCACTTCTGGCCTATTGTACCAGCCCCAGGTGATTGGTGAGGGTGATTGTGGAGCAATTGGTGGGATGAAGTCTGGCAGGGGAACCGAAGTACTCGGAGAAAACCTGCCCCAGCGCCACTTTGTCCGCCACAAATCCCACTTGACCAGACCCGGGATCGAACCCGGGTTCGCCGCGGTGGGAAGCCAGCGACTAACCGTTTGAGCTATGGCGCGGCCTACTGACGTAATTAGTCTGAGTAGTTAGCGATATCACAATGAAATGTACTTCCTGTAGCGACAATATTCTGAGTTTTTACATGTGAATATAACAGATTTAAACATGAAAAGGCCTTTCTGTGACATATTCCTTACGTCAGGGAAGATATTCATTTCTGTAAATTCAACGTTGTCTACATTTTTCCTTACATTTCCTTGTTGATCTGAGAGTTTCACTTTTTCATAGTCAGTTTTCTCTCAGTAATACGTACAGTATCATTTAAGAGCCTAGCCACACCGTAAGGGTACGCGCAGTCCACGCGTGCGCACAGTGTTTTAAAATCTAATTTTAGGATAGAAATTCTTGTTCTACTTACATTATTTTTGGGCATCAGCTTTATAAGTAGACTGTCTTCCCTCCTGCGTCATCTAACTGAATGTTGCCTTCGTGTGGTACTGTTGGAAACATTCGGAAATGCAGAGTCCGACGACGGAATTCATGCACTTTGTCCGGATGTAACTCCCGTTTCCCACGCGAAGAGCACACACGACACCTCGGTCTCGTATTAGAGGAAGTCGGCCATTGATGTCGAGTGGCCTCCTCTAATCTAGATATCGCCGATGACACAGCAGGAAGTCTCTGTGTGATAATTTCGCGCTACAGGATGACAACAGGAGGAAACTGTTCAGAATCGTCAGATCCAGGCGATGGAAAAATAGTTTATTTGTCCATTTCCAGGTCCGACGACTGATGCTACAACTGTTTGCCATTCTGTCTCCTTTGTCGACATAACCCATGTACGTGTTGTAGTTAACAACAATTGCTGGCTTGATGGCATTTCCATGCTCATCACGGAAACTGCCTTCTGCTGAAGGACAGTGCATGTTTGTCCTTCCAAACTAGTGCTGTGAAGTTCCGTCTCACCCTAACACGAATGTCACCTTTCTTCAGTCGAAATTGTCTTCGTCGAAAATAGTCAGGCAAGCCCTTCCAATTAGGTGTGACTGTCCCACAGCACGTTATGTCCTTTGTCATCAGTTTGTCAAACACGTCTGGTGACGAAAAGAAATTGTCCATGTACAGTTAGCGACCTACGCCCTGAATACGTCTGCACAGGTCCCTACCTGTAGCACGTGTCCTGTCTTTTCCTAGATAAACCTTCATGTCATAAGTATACCCAGCGGCGTCACAAATTTTGAAGATTTTGATTCCGAAACGTTTGTGTTTCTTGCGAATGTACTGCCTAAAAACCACCCTCCCTTTGAATTTAACAATTATTTCGTCTATGGCCAAATGTTCGGAAGGGTTATAATATTTTTCATGTGCGTCATTGAGAGTGTCGAAGATGGTCCGAATTTTCCATAGTCGGTCATAACTGTCGGCATTCCTGTCACTTTCTGTATTGTTTTCTGCAAAATGAAGAAAACAAAGAGTGTGAAAAACGGTCGCGTTTCATTGTGTTAAGAGTATAAAGGCGTGGTAAATTGTTCTGCAGTCGACCAGTAGTCCTTTAGTCTGTCTCTAATGTCATGTCCCATTTGAATGATTATTCCTAGAAACAAGAAACATCTCGGAATCGGTGACGTCAGGCCGCAGAGAAGTCTTGAAGTCTGTCTAGGTACTGGTGGTAGTACCTGTTCGTCTCTTCCACCAGCAGACGGATAGTAGAGCATGAAAACGTAGAAAAGGGTGGAATCCTTATTTACGTGTGGAGCTTCATTGATATTTAACCCCACAGCTCCACCGGAATAATTATTCACACCCCTCCTGCCATGCTGGTCTGGTGGTCCCCCGGTTGACGACGAATATGATGGGTCTTCATCGACTTCGGTTTCTGAGTCCCTTGCTTCCTCGCCATTCTGAGTCGTCTGTACCGCAGTCTGAATCGGTGTCATTTAACAGCTTAATTTCGGCTTCTTCCATGAGAAATGAGGTCATGGTGGATAGTTGAAATTGCGATGATTTATAAGCGTTACGAACACAACGCGTTAAGCTTGAACGTTCTGGCACTGCAGAGCCATTCCGAGAAGAATACGTCTATGTGGCTAGTCAGAGTTTCTGAAGGACAAAGTACGATAAGACTTCGACCACACTCGTGTATACAGTAAGGTTCCGACGTGACGGGAGAATGTGCAATACAAACATAAACTTCCTCCCCTTACGCCAGATAAGACAAAGTGAGACAGGATGTCAGCAGCATGCATTTATACTGCAGAAACGTTCTGTGCAGAAACTAAAAGCATATTTGTGGACAGACGCTCGAAATTGGGATTTTTTTTAATCAGTGTAACAGTTTTTACAGATTTTAAAATCTGTAAATTACAATAGCTGATTCTATAGTCTTTCTAGATAAAAGCAGCGACTATTTCGTTCGTTTATCACAAAAATTGTAGAAATCACAGCATTTTCAGCAACATGCTTACAGTTTTTAATACTATACAATGGTGGGCATTTAAATTAACTCCGTCCTGCTGCCATTACCGGAATTTAAATGGCCCGTCTCTTAAAGGGTATAATTATTCCAACATCACTTAATTATTTAAAAAAATATATGCTCTACAGTTCATTTAGCTATATCCGTAAGATGACCACAACCGAACTTTCTTCTTCAACAAATTTGATCAGTTTTACAGACAGTAAAAAAATCAATGGAATTGGTATATAATCAAGAGAATACAAAATATTTTCCGGCATACTCGTAATACTTAACTGATACTTTGAACCAGCTACATACAGCAAACCTAACTTGTAGGTAGAAATGGGTAATTTTACGATGTTTTCAGTATCACAGGCTGTATAGCATTGAATGGTATGATGACAGATTAATTTGAAAGGATTTGGAAGGAAACGGCGTGGTATTTTTTGAGGTATTATCCCAGAATTTTCATGGCGGAATTGAAGAAAATCTATCCGATATTCGAACCGAGCACATCCGAAATATAAGTATCCTAATTAATAGTGGAGTAGTAATATTAGAATAAGTTATTTCACTATATTCCAGCATGGTGTCTTAATTCTTTGCTTGCAGATACTGCAGAACAAATTAATATTTATACGATTGATGTCACACCCAGTGACATTTCTGTGGTGTTAATGTAGAAGTAGGCCAAGTTACTGGAAGTCATTTTTAGCAGATAAAGAAACAGCTTTTTATGTTTATGCAGTAATGCATTTAAATCAGTATTTCATTATGTCACTGAACGAAACATACTGTGCTTGGAAACATAACCTGTTTTTTTTTATTATTTCGATAAGAGGAATTATATGGTGCATTTATCTCATCAATACTTTGTTCCCTAATCCCTCCTTCCATAGCACCATAAATTTGCTCAAGCTAAGATTCACGCATTTAATGATAGTTTTATCATCTGATCGGTTTTTGAGATATCTACCCACTGGTCACAAAAGTAGTTGCATTACTTCAACGGACGTTGTGTTTTAAGCGGGGGTGGGGTTGTACTTAAAGAAAACATTTCTATTGATTTTGTATGGAAAGACTGAAGAAAATCGTTGCTGAAATACAGCAAGACTAACGGCACTTCTGCGAAGATCAATGTAGCTTTCCTGAATCTGAGGCAGACATGTCAGCATGGGAATAAATTCTCTCTCTTGCTGCAACCATGTCATTCAGAAACGTAAACAACACAACATGTTGTTAAGGTGGTTTCTTTTCTATTAAAATTACAGTATGTCAAGTTCAGAGACTCAGAATATTTTCATATCTTTCGATCTGTCATAAATGAATGCAATAGTTATGTTATGGAAGATGAGCCGTGTTGTAACTGTTCTTCACCCACATTCTCTTCACTGGATTCTTTTAGTGCAAGTAGCGGTAAAAATGCTACCCATTATTAGACAGGAAGTAGAGCAAATCAGCAGCTAACAGCAGTCAGTGTGGTGAAACAGGTACAGTGTATTCACCAACCACAAGCAAAGTTGTGACTAGTCAGGTTACTTTATGGAGTCACTGAAATTTTATGTCAGAGATGTACTTAGTGGTGAATAACTAGTTTTTGTCAACAGAAGAAAATGCTTCTTCTTCTTCTTCTTCTTTTTCAACAGACATGTTTGAGGTTATATATCACCATCAGATAATATATTAACCGTCTTCTGTATCGAAATATTATTTATTCAAGAAAAATATAGGGTCATATGCGACGGACCTATTTATTCAGGACCTCTGTATGAAAATACGCCAGACTCTGACGAAACGAGTCTTAAGCCCGTTGGAATACAAACGGCTCCGTCCGTCCGAAGGCGTGAAGCAGCTTGAGAACAGTTGAATTTTTTTTTCATGAAACATTTTATTGAGGAATTCTACTCAGATTTGTCTAACATTCCAGTTTCTAATAAAGTCTGAAGCTAATCAAAAAGCAAGAGAGTTTTTCTTTTGCACTGAAGTCTTTTAATATAAGTGATGTAACGAATGAAGATAATAGAGTGACACAAATATCTAAATAACATTATCCACATTTTTTGACTGGTAAAAGTCCAGGGCAAATTATTATTATTGGACCCTGTTTTGACACTCAGCAATTGTCCATAGCTCAAGCGGTTAGTCGCTGGCTTCCCTCCGCGGCGGCCCGGGTTCGGCCAAGTGGGATTTGCGGTGGACGAAGTGGCGCTGGGGCGGGTTTTCTCCAAGTACTTCGGTTTCCCCTGTCAATCTTCATTCCACCAATTGCTCCACAGTCACCCTCACCTATCATCTGGGGCTGGTACAATTGGCCAGAAGTGGCCGCAGTACAAGGGACTTAGTCCCACCCCACTAGCAGTAAAAGAGTACGCAGATAATTCCTGCTATCTGCCGTCATGAGTATTTATGTGGGGTAAAATGTTTCGGGTGCATGAAAAGGAAACACATAATGCAAGTCCGACGAACTTTTACGTAAGTCTTGGGGCTTTAGTGGTTATTAAACAAAATAACGCGAACCTCCACAATTCTTAGGTTATGTATACATTTCCGGACAAAAGCTTTCAATAATCAACAATGGCCTCCCAAACACAAGCGAAGAATACCAAAGTCTCTAATCTGGATAGTATCAAAACAACGGCTCTTTGTACATAAATGTCTGGATGCAAATAAATATGTACTCAATCAAAATGCAGTTGATGATGCAGCCACAGATATTAATTTATCGGTTATTTTTGCGCTTGCTTTATAATATACAATTTCTCTTAGTCAATCATCTTCATGTGTTTAAGAGTGCTGACGTGTTGAAATGGAAACTACTTTTTCCACTGTTTTCTTTGGATTTGACTTCAGCCTATAACGTTCGTATTTGGTGCGTTAGCAGCGAAATTTAAAAAATGCGCGTATTAGCTTCACCATATTGTCAGCATGTAACGAGTCCAGAACTGCTAAACGAATTTTCATGAAATAGGAAGCTGGAAATTTTTACTAAAATTTGTCGAC